CCCCCCCCCAAAAAAAAAACAAAACTATTATAATTATTAACCCTAAACCCTAAACCCTAAACGCTAAACCCTATTCTAATTATTCACGCCCCTACATTACTTGGGCCCTTTGTCCCTTTTGGGGTCCCATGTTCCTCGTATAAGGCTCCCGATACCAAAACTTGGCGTTCTTCTGGACTTTAACTTTTTTGGGTTTCTGTATGAACGAAAAGAAGTAGGCTAAAAGTTTAACTTTTTTTGGTGGTTTCTATATGAACTATAACAAGTAGGCTGTAAAAGTTTAACTTTTCAGGAGGGGTTCAGAAGTCGGCCAAGAAAAAACGGAGCCCTGTTCATTCCTAGGTTACTGGGTCTCCCGGGTTCCCGTGCTCTCAGAGTATCTTTCGACCCACGATCCCAGGAACCTTTATGTGAAGACGGTGCTTTCGCAGCTGGTGCTGGATGAGGACCATGAGCTCTGGGGAGGAGCCCAAAACCCATGGGAACCCCGACCTAGAAAGTAAAGCTTTGTGGGTCCCTGAAGAGTGCAAGAAGGGTTCTATACGGGCAACATAAGGATTGAGGGTGTCAGTATTCATTTGCCCGATTAGTATTTTCGGTCCTTAACTGCCAAGCTAAGGATTTGTGTTGAACGTGCCCTAAACCCTAGTGTTTGGGCACTTGCACCCTCAGGGCGAGGTTTGAAGCAGCCGGGCAGAGGGCCCGCCGATCACCTTCAGAACCCCGTATGGCGATGTATCTTCCTACATCCTGGGATTACAGGACTTGCAATACAGCTGTCGTGATTATTACAGACAATATCCCCTTCTACTTCCTTCCAAATTATACTCTATCCCAAAGGCCCTATTCTGTGATCATCAAGGACCCTAACCCACATTACCCTAAACCCTAAACCCACATTACGGTCTTTGCACTGCTGTGCGGCCGAAGCTTGTGTCCCCCCCTAGTCATCGCCCAGACCTTCCAAAATCCATTGATTCAGGAATAAACTTTAAATTATAGTAGGGTCCTTTCAATATGATGTTAAGGTATTGTAGATTTCTTAAATGATTTATTAAGGGATGTTTGAAGGTGCGGGAACAAAGAGGCCGACATGACTATTATTGCTTTTCCTTCGAGTTCCCTATTCTAGCTATACTACGTCACCATGTAGCCGCGAATCCAAGGTTTAGGGTTTAGGGCCCTGCATTAAAGTTGAACCCTTTCATTTAGAAGATTCCTGACTGAGAACTGAATAATATAGGGGCCTTAATGATTAGAATAGGGTTTTGGGAGTATATTTACTATAATTGTAATAAGGAGCCCCCAAAACCCTATTCTAATTATTAAGGCCCCTACATTAAGAAGAACAGGCTTACATAAGAGTCGGCTTAGTATGTCCGCATGTACGACTACCTCCTTAGCTCCAGGCCGTAGTCTAATTGTCAAGGCCTTATCTCACTTAGGGTTTAGGGTTTAGGGTTAAGGGTCCTAGGTACTTTTATAGGGGATACTTTCCCGAATCATAGTAACAATTCCTAATCCTAATCTAGAAACCCTACATTCTACGATATAGGTACTTTGGACCGTTTCAAGGAACCCAGGCATCGCGGTGCAGGGTGTGCTGTTGACTAGCGCTTCGGGCTAGGATTTGATGCCGACCAGCCTTCGAAGCGTTTAGATTTGAGGGATCAGCCCTAAACCCTGAACCCCTAAACCGCAGGCTTTGAGGGTTTAGTGTTGTTTCGGTTTTGGGGCTTTAGGGCCGGGAGGTTTGGGCAACAAGCTGCAGGACCGAGGATTGGAAGGTGTCCCTATCGGCTTCCTAATGACCGCCATCCAGCAGCTGGTGGGGTTTAGTGTTGAAAGCAGGGCGTCGGGCGAGTATTGCACGCGTCCTCACATGCAGGGTATATATGGGGCTTCCTAGGGATCCAATCGTGTTCTATATTCAGGTCGAAGGACTCAATGATTCACTGGGGGTTTAGGGTTTAGGGGTGCGAGAGAAGGAATGTAGGTTAGTGTCTATAATGCCTACACCACTCTACACGGAGAGTGTGGGACCCTACAAATGCAAACGATTTAGGTCTTAGGACGGTTAAACCCTAAACCCTATATCCCCCGCCCGATACCCGCTAACGCCTTTCGCTTTGTACCCTGAACCTTAAACCTTTCTTCGCCAAAGCTGAAGCTTTGTATGTAAAGAAGCCATATAGGTCATGAACAGAGTTACTATGACATCTATGACCCTACGTGGCGCTATCATAAGTACAATCTTTCAGGTCTCTGACCACGTCCTAAGACCTTGACTGATAGACTAGCGTCGACTTTATATAACCCTCTTCCGCATGTTTTGTTTAAGCAGGTTTAGGGTGGTCTAGGGTCGATGATAGAGACGATGCAACACAGGGACTCTACACATCCAGCGGATTGTTGTGTAGCACACTTGTGTGCGAAGTGACAACTCTTAGCTTTCGTTCGAACTTCGATCGGACCTCGAGTGGATTGACTAGGTCCGTGTGAA